AACAATAAAGAGGAGGTAACAAGAAGAGGGGGAACAAGAAAGAGGGAGAAACAATAAAGAGGGAGAAACAATAAAGAGGGGGAACCAAGAAGAGGGGGAAACAAGAAAGAGGGGGAAACAAGAAAGAGGAGGTAACAAAAAGAGGGGGAAACGAGAGGGAAACAATAAAGAGGAGGAAACAGTAAAGAGGGGGAAACAAGAAGAGGGGAAACAAGAAGAGGGGAAACAAGAAGAGGGGGAAACAATAAAGAGGGGGAAACAAGAAAGAGAGAGAAACAACCAAGAGGGGCATAAAAAAATGTGAGGCAAACAAGAATGTGGGAGAAACAAGGAGGTTTGATTTGTTTTGTTTTACGGTATATCAACCTCAATAGGTTATTTAATGCCGACAAGTTTTTTTTACAATAGATTCGTATGAATAGAATATATATTCTTTGTAGAAAATCAATTTGAAGATCAGGTTTTATTTTGGCGTACTACTGTAGTGCCAATTTAGCGCGTTTTAAAGTTGAGGTATTTCATTAGCTTCTGTGTATAAACTGTCCCCTGGGGATGTCCTAAAAGCTCTAATTACTAGTCTGAAGCCGTCATGATAGATTGCGTTGAATACTTTCAGTTATGATTTTCTGGCCGCCGTCCTATATATGAAACTAGCGTAATCCTGTTTTGAGCGAACTAGTGATCTGTATAATTTAATTAATGCTTGTCGATTTGCTCTTCATTCGATATGGGCTATCATACACAAAAGCTGGAGCACTTTACTACATTTTAGATTTAAATATTTTAGATGTGGAATGAATGATTACTGATCCGTCTAATTTTAAATAAGAGTCGTTGTGCAATTTCCTTAAGTTGCAGAAATATAGGCATTTGGTTTTCGTTTTCGAAAATGTAAAACCATTTTCTTTCCCTGACCTATTTGTGTATTTTATTGAGAAGTTGTCTTTCTATGGTATACACATGTCGAGATCTGTACATTATTGGAAAGTCGTCGACATATAGCGAGGATCTCACTCCTGGTCTTAGGGATTTAACTCTGGAGTTAATTTTTATGCAGAATAGAGTCCCCCAAAGAATGCTTCCTTATGGAACCCCCTTTTCTTGGTCTTTATGTACTTGTTATAAGAAGGAGTTACTATACAGACTTGAAATCTTTCAGGAAATTCTCTATGAAATGAAATAGCTTCCCTTTTAGGCCCAGTTCATTCAGATCTTTCAAGATATCAAATTTCCATGTTGTGTCATACGTCTTACGTAAGTCAAAAATCGCTGCTATGTTCCTTCTTAATGAAGGCTTCCCTTACAAAGGTTACTAGCCATATTAAGTGGTCTATGGTACTTCTGTTTTTCCTAAAAGCACATTGGAAGTCGCTGATTAAGCCTTTAGTTTCCAGGTACGAAGTCAACCTGTTGTTGACCATTCTCTTTATAGTTTTACATAGGCAACTGGTTAATAGTATCGGTCTGTAGTTTTCAGGGTCTGTGTCATCCTTTCCAGGTTTTGGAATAGGGATGATGAATGACTGTCTCCATATTTCTGGTAAGTTGCTATTTGTCCATATGTTATTAGACATTTTTAATAACAGTTGTAACGATTTGCTGGGTAACTGTAATTCGTAATGGATACAATCTGGACCCACAGCTGTATTTTGGGCTTTCTTTAAAGATTCATTTACTTCCTCCAGAGTGAATGGTAAATTATAGCTCTGGGTATTATTTGATTTAATGTTTAGTTTTTGTTTTTCCCGCTTTTTGTTTAAGCTTTAAAAATTGTTGGCTACCATTCTTGGCAGATTCATTTTTAGAAATTGTTTTGGAAAATTTTTATCAGCGATATCCTTTTGTGCTGGTTATTTTAGAGTTTATCAAGAGTTGTTTTACAGTGGTGTGTTTTTTGTATTTGCCTGCAATTTTCTTTATCATATTCCAAACGGATTTTGTTTTTGTAGCAGTATTGAGTCTGCTGACGTAGTTTTTCCAGCATTCTTTTTTTATCTTCTTTAATTATTTTCCGTACTTTTGCTTAAATTGCAGCAATTAGATCTGCTCTTAGCCTGACAGGAACCAAGGTCTGTTGCGATTTTTTTTTTAGTGTTGAATTTTTTTGGAATGCATTTCTCACCTATAGAGATGAGGATCTCAGTGAAATATTTTAAGTATTTGAATTTTCTTCCCTCACCCAGTTTTTCAGAACATTGGCTTTTAAATTCTCCCGCCTGATTTCCAATGGTTTTTGTCATGATAATCTAAGTTTTGTATGATGATTGGAAAATGATCGCTACTGCATGTTTCTGTCAGTACCTTCCAAGAGAAATCTATATAAATTGATGGACCACAAAGGGATAAGTCTATTGCCGAGTAGCTGCCAGTAAATGAATTTAAGTAAATCGGGATTTTATCATTATAATTGTATAAATATTTCTTATAAACAATTGTTTCTAAGGTCGTTCCTTTTTAGTTAGTGTATTCACAATCATATGGTGCTGCGAAAGTTCCCACGGTATCATAAATAGTGCAGGCCTTATGACTTCACGAATTTCATCTTCATTTGCTGGTTCATTCGTTGGGATATATAACGAGCAGATGTTTATTGTCTTGTAGTAAGGTCACCTTAACAGCAGTCACCTCTACAGCGGTTGTTAAATTTATTTTACACTATATTACTCGGACTATCATCCAAGTCTTTGTTGCCATATTTATCACAACGTTTCGGCCGTTGTACGCTTCGTCCTTCTTCAGGTGGTTGGAATATGGAACTGAACCCTTCATTTTGTTCAAAACCTGGTTAAGGCTGTGGAGAACTTGGGGAGCGGAATTAACAAGAGATAACTGATAACTAACATCCATTAGACATAGCACGTGGAACTAGAACAGTCTACCACAGCGAGCGAAATAAAGAGTTCAGTTCGACATTCCAACCATCTGAAGAAGGCTGGGGCGTACAACTGCCGAAACATTGTGAGAAATATGGCAACAAAGATGAGGATGATAGTCCGAGAAATGTAAGTAGTGTACATAATACCTCATCTCAGAAATATAGACAAATTTATTTTACTTTGAGTTACTTCATTCTTAACTAGGATGAATGTATCACCTGGTGCTCGAAGAAAGTGTCATGTGTGGAGTTGTATTGCTGGTATTCTTTTATATTCAGTTTGTCATTTTTTTATTTCGCGGCAGATCTATTGAATTATTTGATACATGATATCTAAATGTTTTGGGGAATTAGTTTAGTATGAAGCTGTGTTTTAATTTTTGAGTTTGAAGGTTTTGGTCCCTTGTGGGAGCTGGCTTTCCACCTTTTCTTCCAGTTTGTCAAATCAGTTTTGGCTAGGAATTTGGCCACTGTGAATTTCTGCTTTTTTGATTGGCTGGTTCTTTTCTTTTGAGATATAAGTGTTTAAGTCTATCTTTCATGGTTTTTGATGAACGGATAGGAGACTTTTGCTTTATAGTGGATCTTTTAGTTTTTAGAGGAGTGGTTTGTGTTTGAGTGGTAGATTTGGTTTGGTTTGTATTTGTTTTTTCTTTATAATTTCAATTCTTTCATTGGCTTTTCTTTTCAGTCTGCACTATCTTCTTGGAGTTTATATATTTCAGGTAGTTTTAAAATTTGGGCCATTCAATTGGTCCGAAGTATACGAGCTTCTCAACGATGGGTCTGTATTTGTCAAGTTCATTAATATTCGTCGTGGTCATTATTTTTGCCTAGAAAGGGCCTTTCAGGTAACTTTCTATTATTTGCTTTGCTTCTAGGAATGAAATATTTTGTTTGTCATTCGCCTCTACTATAATCTTTGGCCTTTTCTAGAAGTCGCATGATTGTGAATATGCTGGATGGTTTTCCAGGCAGTTAGTACATCTTACTTCATACTGGTATCCTTCTTCCGTGTGGTCTGAATCGCTTTAGCCGCATTTTCTACATATTGACTGACTGCTGCAGATATCCTTGTGATGTCCAATTTAGTGCAGCAGGAATACATTGTTCTACTGGTTCAATATTGTATCCGAAATTTATTTTCTTGGAGATTTGGGGTGTGACAAAAGTAAGGATATACATGACTATTATGATGGTTTCGCCTTTCCTTTTTCTCGTGACTCTACGGCAATCACTGACCTCTTGGCTTCCTAAGGCAGTTGTGATTTTCTCAAGTGTTGCCAGAGACAACTCTCTGCTTCTAATGACTCTCTTAGGTGTATTTAGTTTTTTTTTTTATGGTGGAATGTTCTTTATTTTGGTGTTATGAGAGGTCTTCATCTTCATTAAACTTTCGGCGTGTTTTCTATTTTCCACTTCTACCAGCAAATTGCCATTTGTAAATTCTCACCCTACGGGAACCAGCATTGGGATATGTCAAGGGGGAAAGCAAGTCGTCTTGAGAGGTCAGGGCTACACAAACCAGTATACTCATATTCGAGAGAGACACTAATCACCTGTTAAAACATTTGTGGCACTTCCCAAATAAATGTACAAACTGGCATGTTAACAGTCAGTTTGTCTAGATCTCTTCGAACTGATTGACTCACAGCCATCGCTTTCTAACGTCTACAAACTGGATAGAGATGGTATAAACTGATATAGTTATAGGCGCTAAGGCTTGACATGGCTACCCGATTGATTGGATCGAGACTCTCCGACAGTCCATCTAGTCTAAGGGCCAAAGTAGAAAGTATCTAACCATGTCACCTGAAGCCGTCAATCACTAAGATTCCGTCACCAGACATCAAGGGTCGCCACCCACGGCAAATAGGTGACTTCATTGTAGGGGATAGTTATTACTCCTCTGCAGAGGTGCTGTCAGATATCCTGAAGCCCCAGTCGAAAGGGTGTGGAAACAAGAAAAACAAGGGGAAAATAAACGATAGTGGCAAACAAATGAGGGGAAAACAAACGAGGGAAAGGCAAAAAGGAGGGGGAAACAAAAAAGTGGAAAAAACTAGGAAGAGGAGAAATAGGGGAAAAGGGGCAAAGAAGAATGAGAGATAAGTAAGAAAAAGGTTTAAACTAGAAAGAGAGATAAACTAGAAAGAAGGGGGAAGAAATAGAGGCAAAGAAGAAAGAGGGACAAACAAGAAACAGGGACGATCAGGATTGAGAGACAAGTAAGAAAGAGAGATAAACTAGAAAGAGGGGGAGAAGAAACAGAGGCAAACAAAAAGAGGGGCATACAAGAAACAGGTACGATCAAGAATGAGGGACAAGTAAGAGAGAGAGAGAGAGAGAGAGAGAGAGAGAGAGAGAGAGAGAAACTAGAAAGAGGGACAAACTAGAAAGAGGGGGAAAGAAATAGAGGCAAACAAAAAAGAGAGGCAAAGAAGAAAGAGGGACAAACAAGTAACAGGGACGATCGAGAATGAGGAAAACAATTTATTCCCAGCAGAACAGAAGGGATGTAAAACAAGTTACGGTTGCAGGGACCAACTTATTATCAATAAAACAATATGGGAAGAGGTGAAAACAAAGGAAAAAAACTTATCGACAGCATGGATCGACTACAGAAAGGTGTTCGATAGTGTTTCACACTCATAAGTAAAGAGGAGCTGTAAATAATGCAGACTATGCCCCACAAAAAGCATGAAAAACTGAAAGACTACATTAAATCTAAACCATAGAAACGGCTCATTTGCATCAAGACGAACCAACATCAAAAATCTTCCAAGGAGATTCATTCTCACTACTACTCTTCTGCCTTGCAATAGCCTCACTCAACTGTCTAATAAACAAGAGTAACTAGAGATACAAGGCAGATAATGCAAACTAAATAACCTATTTTATACTGATGATCTTAAAACGTTTGCCAAGGATGACAATCAGCAGAAAAACCTACTCGTCGTTGTCAAAACCTTCAGCGAAGACATTAGGATGGAGTTAGGAATCAATAAATGTTCCAAAGCCACCTTCAATGGCGGTAAACTAACGAAAACTAAGGATATAGACAAAATTAAGGAACTAGACCAAGATGGCACATAGGAATACTTAGGAATTAATGAAAGAGCCGGAATACAGCATTAAATTATGAAGAAAAAGATCCGAAAAGAATCTTATAGAAGTATGCGTTTGATACTAAATGGTACCAATAAAATGAAGACTATCAACACCTTAGCTATGCTCTTAGTAACATACAACTTCAACATTATTAAATGGAAGTTGAATGTCATCAAAAGATTGGACGCCAAGACCAGAAAAATGCTTACCCAAATGATGATGCACCCCCTGAAATAGGATGTATGTACCAAGAGCTTTAGGAGGCCGAGGTCTAATCCAACTTGAAAACTACAACAATCGGTTTTGAAGCATACCTCGAAAAAACTAATAGCCCTCTCCTACAAATAGTAAAACCCCAAATCACTCCATCAACAAAAAAGCTGCACTCTTCAAGAAACAGCTTAATATACCTGAAATCCTACCAACAAAAACGAAGCGAATATCAGCTATGCCAAACGAGTAAAGCAGAATGCAAAACAACTTGGCCAAATGAAATTACAACAAAACTGGAAGGACAAGGAGTTTCGTGGCAAATGCATAAAAAGAACGAAAGAAGCAGATGTGGACTAAGAGAAAACACATCAGTGGCTGAGGCGCACCGGGTTGAAAGATGAGACAGAAGGCCTAATTATTGCAGCTCAGGACCAAAGCCTCGCAACCAGATCCTATCACTATCACATAATCAAGGATGGAACTAACCCGAAATGCAGGATCTGGGGAAGATATGATGAAACTGTCGGTCATATTATCTCAGGATGTCCGGAACTGGCATAAAATGAATTATACCCACAGACATAACAAAGTAGCGACATATGTGAATTGGAAAATATGCAATAAACATAAAATAGAAACCACTGAGAGATGGTATGTCCACCAACCAGACACAGTTACCCAAAATAACGATGTAACTATCCTCTGGGACATGCCAATTCAAACTGACAGGAAATAAAAGCCAACAGATCTGATATTATCATAAAAGACAAGAAATTCAGGAAGTGCATGTTTATTGACATAGCATTACCATCTGAGATAAATACTTCCATGAAAATTAGCGAGAAATTGTCCAAATACAATGACCTAGAGATCAAGATTATTAGGATGTGAAGAATGAAGATTGAGACTGTACCAATAGTAATGGGAGTTCGGGGCTTCCTGAGAAAAGGAATGGGCAATTTTATTAATAGTGTCCCAGGTAACATCAACGTACAAGTTGCCCAGATGATCGCCGTACTAGGAATATCACATATACTAAGAAAAGTACTATCAATTAAATGACAATTCTCCTATAGGGACTAAGGACCATAGTTTCGACTCAGCTTTACAGGATACAAAACAGGAACAATAATATACACAAATAATAATAATATAAAATAATAATAATAATAATAAAAAAAGAAGAGAACTAAAGAGAAGAATAGAAGAGGGGGCAAAGGAATAAAAAAAGGAAAAAGAATGAAGAAATAATAACTAAAATAGAAGACGAAAAATAGGAGAAGAAAAATAATAACCAGAAAGGAAGAAGAAAAAGAAGAATAAGAACAACAAACCACCACCACCACCACCACCACCACCACCACCACCAACAACAACAACAACAACAACAACAACAACAACAATAATAATAATAGAAATACAAAAACTGTCTTGATAAGTACAGTCCGCATATTGAGAAGAACTTTGTGTAATGCTGGTAATGTTATGTGAGTTAGAAAAACAAATCATGAAATGTAGCCACAAGAACACACCACGACCTGCCTTAGGTCTTTCTACAGACTTGGTAGGTAGTGTGACCATAGCAGAAATCGAAGGACAATGATGATGATGATGATGATGATGATGATGATGATGATGATGATGATGATGATGATAAGAAAACGCAAGAGAGAAGGAAGCAAGGGAGAAAGAAGAAGAAGAAAAAAACAACAAAAAATAAATGGAGAAATAACAAAAAATAAATGGAGAAATAATAACTAAAAGAGAAGAAGGAAAAATAGCAGAGGAGAAGGAACATGAAAAAGAAGCGGAAGGAAAGGAAAAACATGAGAAAGAAGAATGAAATAATAATAAAAAGAAGAATAAAGAAGAAGAAGAAGAAGATGAAAAAGAAGAAGAAAAAAAAACAACAAAAAGAAAAACGAAGAGGCAGCAAATCTGAAAACAACAGAAGAAAAATGAAAAAAAATCCAATACGAAGATTATAAAGATAATAAGAAAATAATATGAAGAAGAAAAAGAAGGAAAAAAGGAAAATGTGAGGAAGAAAGAAAAAGGAAAAAATACATGGTAATATATTCTATCTTAGAAGAGGAAAACAATAATAAAAAATACATAAAATTAAGTGAAGAAAAAGAAGAATAAAGAAAAGAAAAAGAAAAGGAAAATAATAAAAAACGCAAATGTAGACGAGAATTAAAAATGAAAAAAAGACAGCATGGAAAAAGATGAAGGTAGAAAATAAACAAAGTAAATGAATAAGATAAAGAAAAAGAAGAAAGGAAGAAATGCAGTAAAAATAAGCAGAAAAAAAAACGAAAAAGACACCACAGGAAGTAAGGGGAAATGACAAGGATAATGTAAAAACAAGCGGGAAAAAGAATAAATTGGGAAAAAAAAGTAAAATCGAAAGAGGAGGCAGAGAGTAGGAGTAGAAGGCGGTTTTTGAAGAGGAGGATGAGTGGAAAGCGGAGTTGGAGTGAAAACTTCGAAAGGTTTAGCGGGAAGTTAACGAGACCGGCAGAAAAAAAAAGTCAGAAATTGAAAGGATATGAAAAAAGAAATATTGAAAAAAATGAAAAAAATAAAAAAAAAAATGAAAAAGAAATAAATAAAAAATAAAAATAAAAAAAAATAAAAAGGAATTATTAAAAAAAGAGAAAGAATATTTATATTAAAAATTTCAAATTAAAAAGAGTGTGGAGGTTTTTTTTTATTTTGTTTTTTTTTTAAAAAAAATTATATATATGTTTCGTTCGTTAGAATCTGACAGGCAATAATTTCACACCCATTGACAGGCGGGAAAGGCGAAAAAAAAAATAGATTCAACTATTTTATAACCAGCCAATCACAGGCGTGACGCTATAGTAAATCGAATGGAAAGAACAATTTTTTTCCTGGCAATATAAAATTGTACACACACAGCCTCACACTTAAACATGTTCTATTCAATAGAACGCACAGGTAGCGTCGACTGAGCCTTTTTAATAGTAAAGCAATATTTGCCATGTGACGCTAAATGCAATTTCATTGTCAAAGCACGTGAACCTAAGTTCATTTTATACTTTAAACTCATAACTATAGAAACGCCATATTGACTATTTCTGGACTTTTACCTTTCTTTTTCTGAAAATTACTAACAACAGTCGAAAATAGTTGGATTTTAACATCTATTTTCGATAAGTTCGAGAAATTACTTTAAAAGTTTCCGCGTACGATAAAGGGATTAATATGGACAATACTTAAACCGAGCCTAGACATTCTTTGTGGAAATATAAGAAAATTTAATTAAATAAAGGTTTTTCATAAACATTCTCTTCTAAAATAAGCATAAGAATCCATGTATTGTCGAGACTTGGGCAATAAAGGCTCTCCATAATTTCCTTTTGTTTTTTTATGAATCAACATGACTTCTTCGGAAACATCGAGGGGTGATTTTTCTGTGACATTTTCTTCGATTTCGGAATTCATTGTGTTTCTTCTCTGGGCAAATAATCATCCAAGGTTAGAGATTCAAGTCTACCCTGCTATTTAATCCATAGTTAAAAAGAGAAGATATAGATTTAACCAACAATGGATATGCTAGGGAAACTCACATTCACGGCGGTCAGGCTAATACTCATTGAAATGCAACTCAGTGTCAGCTTCAAAATGCCATAGACACTTTTGACATGCTTGTCTCACGAGCGGAATTATGCAAAAATTTAACAAGGTACGGTACAATGTTCTATTTGAACTGCTAGGAAAACTCAATCTATTTGGAAAAGAATAATCCATAGCATATACTAACTGCATACGGATAGAAAATAAGAGTAGCTACACAAAAATACAAACAGACGAGAGACAAGTATGTGTCTTCTCCCCAGATTTATTCTACGGCGACGCTATCCTAGGGGAACAGGAGATCCTACCTGGATTTATTATCGGTTAGCGTATTCTTAACAATATAAAATACGCAGATGACACTGTGTTGATGGACGACTCAAAAGGAAACTACAGGACCTCTTAGAGAGAAAGTGAGAAAAAAAAAGGACTATTAGAAAAAAACAAACAGTATGCGATTTATAAAATGGAGATATCAGCATGAAGAAGGTTCAGAAGTTTAGATATCTTGGAAGTGAGCTAGAAAATCCGACACCAAGATTCGAACACGCATTGTCAAGCTAAAGAAGCATTGCAAAAGGCAAGAAAGACGATGAGAAACGGTGATGGATTGCTCCGTGGTATCTACCTTTTATATGTTGGAGAATCCCCCAATGAATGAGGAAAAAAAACAGACAACAAAACTGTACACTATTTACATTATTCGGACTATTATCATCTTCAGGTTGGAATGTTGAACTGAATCCTTTATTTCGCTCGCTGGGGTAGACTGTTCTAGTTCCACGTGCCATGTCAAATAGATGTTAGTTATCTCCTGTTAATTCCTCTCTCCAAGTTCTCCACTGCCTTAATTAGGTATTGAATTCACAACAATTTGGGTCCTGTCACTGGATCTAACCAACGCCTTTATCCACTGCCCCCATGTGTACTAAAGGACATCTGTGTATGAATTTCTGGGTCTTATAAACTTAATGTCTTCAGTAACCATTCTTACCATTGCAATTTTTGTTGTTATCAATCCATGTTTTTTAACTAGAATATTATTGCAAGTTTCGTTGTTATTATTGCATTTCTCTAGCACTCCTTATAACTGGTTCCCATATTGTATTCATTTCTATGCTAGGTCGGCTCAGAAGATTTTTGTGGCCTAGCATGTGTGCTGATTCCTTATGTTTACGAATTTTCCAATGATATTCTTTGTCTATGATTTCAATCTGATCCCACAGAGGGCGGTGATCTCCTTTCTCTTCATATGTGGTCAGCCACGCGTGATTTTTCCACTTCCCCTCGTGTTACAACTTTTTGGTGTTCTTTACCTTAAGGGGGCGGCCTGTCTCTCCTTTTATATTTCTTTCAGGAGCTGCATGGGATGGCGTACGCACAGTCTTTAGTCATGTTCCACCTGAAGAAAACCAGGGCGTACAAATGCCGAAACGTTGTAATAAATATGGCGACAAAAATGAGGACAATAGTCCGAATAATGTAAATAGTGTACATAATACCTCATCTCAGAAATATAGACAGATACTGAAGGGTTGAAACGTTGTAATAAATATGGCGACAAAGATGAGGACAATAGTCCGAATAATATAAATAGTGTACATAATACCTCATCTCAGAAATATAGAAAGATACTGAAGGGCAGAAACGTTGTAATAAATATGGCAACAAAGATGAGGACAATAGTCCGAATAATGTAAATAGTGTACATAATACCTCATCTCAGAAATATAGACAGATACTGAAGGGCCAAAACGTTGTGCTAAATATGGCGACAAATATGAGGACAATAGTCCGAATAATGTAAATAGTGTACACAATACCTCATCTCAGAAATATAGACAGACACAGCAGAATTGTGGTTCTACAGAAGGATACTGAGAATTCCATGAACAGAGCGATTAAACAACGTTGAAGAATTAAAGAAAATGGCAACAGAAGAACATTTCAACTCATAATTAGAAAATTATAGTTGAAATTTCTTGGACACATAATGTGGAAGGAAGGTTTGAAAAAGGGCATATTGAGCTGAAGGCTGCGATCCACATACCTGATGAACTTGTGTGAATAGATGGTTGAGCGGGTGCGAGGGCCTTAGCAAAGGGAGAAAACTGCTAAAAGCCACAGAAGATAGGAAGTTGAGGAGAGCCATGATTGCCTGTGTTCTGAAGGGACACTGCGTATCGAAGAAATACATGTTTCGGGAAAATGTTTCTCTCGGCCAAATTTTAATTTTACATTGATTTAGTTTTAAAATACAAATGCAAAAAGATTTCTAACGGACAATAAAAACTCACGACAAGAGAATATTGTCAGTAAGTGAGACACGGAAAACCTAAGCGCATTGAGATAGCAGTAGATGCCTTTCAAAAGCGAAGCAAAGTATTAAGAAGCAGAAAGAATTCGCTAGAAAAAAAGAAAAAAAGTACTCAACTAATATGCCATATTAGAGCAGTGAGGACAATCTCCTCGCCGATGAAGGAGAGACGTGAAGCGACAGAAGGATGCTGAGAATACCATGAACCGAAAATGTGAGCAACGACGAAGTTCTGGAGACATGGGAAGTAAAAAGGACCCTTATACGTAACATCAGGAAGAGACAGTTGAAATTTCTAGAGCACATAATGAGGAAACAAATCATGGTAATTTCTTCCTTAGAGGACAGATTGAAGGGAAAGGGGACACATTGAAGGGAAAGGGGACACATTAAAGGAAAAGGGGACAGTGGAAAATATCACATAACCTACCTGTCCTGAGTGAATCGATGGCGGAGCAGTTTTGGAGTGATATCCCAAAGATAAAAATTATTAGGGACTACAAAGGACAGGAAGTTGTGGAGAGCTATTATCATGCTGAAAGGACACGTCACAGAGAAGAAGAACGAAAAATATTGTTACACTATTTACATTATTCGGAGTATTGTCCTCATCTTTGTCGCTATATTTATTACAACGTTTCGGCCGTTGTACGCTCTGGCCTTCTTCAGGTGGCTGGAATGTCGAAGTGAACCCTTTATTTCGCTCGCTGGGGTAGACTATTCTAATTCTACGTGTCATGTCTAATGGGTGTCAGTTATCAGTTATCTCCTGTTAATTCCTCTTAGCAAATTCTCCACTACCTTAACCGGGTATTGAATTCACACACTTTGGGTCCTGTCACTAGATTTAACCAACGCTTTGATCCCCTGTGCCATGTCACACATGGCACAGTGCATAAAGGCGTTGGTTAGACCTTATCGAAATGATCAGACTTAGTATCGAGATGGAAGTAAATGGTTATGTCATCAGCATAGATATCAAGTTGAGATCGGATGTCATCAGGAAGGTCATTGGTGAAAATTAGGAACAAAGCAGGTCCAAAGATGGAAGCCTAGGAGATACCTGCATTAATAGTAGAAGTGTGGCCGTTCAGGACAACTTTTATTTCGCGATTTGATAAGAAAGATTGAATCAGTTCAAATATTCGTCCAGATTTTTCCACAAGCAAGAAGTGCAAGAAAAGTGACTGTTAGCAAATAACGTACATCTAGCCAATTTAACTGTGAATTGATGAGACCTTGCTGCCAATCTAGCTCTGAACTTAAATTAATAAGGCCTAGATACGTTAGCGAAGGGTTCATCCGAACAATTACCATGAAGGTATTTATATAAAAAAAGCATAGTGAAAGCAGAAATGACAGGTCAGATCTAATATTATTACTGATTTTTTGGATTTTATCAAGAATGAAAACAGCAGCAGCACCGTACCATATGTAGCAGCAATATTAAAAGCATGGATGAATGGTAGTCTTATAAATATGTAACATAGATTCAGGGGGAAATATTATCTAGGACGACACAGTGAACCAACTTTCTTATCAGCAGACCTAGCAATGGATTCAATATAATCGTTCCACTTCTTGTCAACCGAGAATGTTAAAATTTCGGAGGCGTTAAAATTAAAAGCCATTTCTTGCCCTAGTAAACAACTAACTGAGAAGCCGCACTGTCCATTGTGTGTATTTTTTTAATCGTTTCACCTCAAGCTAAGTGTGTGCCACTGGTACGCAAGTGGTTACAGAGAGTGAAGGTGAGAGAAAAGACTGGATCTCAGGGGTGGGGGATTGAGGAAAGGATAAAAGCTGAACAGGGTTCAAGAAGATAAAAAATGGCGATTGACGCTGCATTTAAAATTTTTGAAGAGTATAGTAATCAGGGAAGCAAGGAAACGGAAGAGAGTTCCACGAGCGGGATATACGAGAACAGAAACCATTGGAGTAGAAGTGGCGGTAACATTTAACTGATTCAACAGCAAAAGGGTGGGATCTAGAAGCCCATCTAGTAGCAAGCTTAAACTCACATAGACCCGTTACCATGTGGAAAAGTATCAGCCATGCTGATGGGAGGCAGGAAAGCCTCTTTTAGGTGATTGATAGAGAGGCGTTGAAATTAAGCCATTCCTTGCTCCAGTTAACAACAGAATGTAGGTGATTCTTAAAATCAGCTGCCAAATTGACTTTATCGAACTGACCAGATTTACCATCCAGACAGGTGTAAATGGTTATTTGTTGAGTGCAGATATCAATTTGAGAAATGGTGTCATCAGGAAGGTCCTTGATGAAAGTTAGGAACAAAGCAGGTCTAAGGATAATGCAATTCGTTATACTTGCATGAGGACAAAAAGATCAAGAAGAGTGGCCGTTTAGGATACCACTCATTTCATGATAAGAAAGACTGAATCAATTAAAAAAAAGTACCATAGTCTTTCAACTTATGAAAAAGACCGGTACGCTAAAAACCAATCAATTCTTATGTCTGTCTTGTATAGCATTCTCTGCTTCATATCGAGTAATAGTCAGTATTTCGTAACATTCTTTGCACTTGAACAATTTGTTTCGCACGTTTACTCACAATTCCTGTCATATCTGGTCTTGTGCTTCTGCTATACATCTCAAGATTCTCAACAAAATCCAAAGAAGGGTCTGTAATACAATTAGTCCTGACCTGGCATCTCGACTTCAGATACTTTGCAACCACCATGA